GGGAGCGCCGCGACGGCGCGCCGGTCGAAGTGCTTGTCGCCGTAGGTCCGCGTCATGGCGAGGGCGTCCGAGAGCGTCGTCGCGGCGTCGCCGCGGCCGACGAAGTGCTCCGCGACCGCGCGGAGCACCGGATCCCAGTCGCCGTCGTCGAGCGCGCCACGCGCGACGTAGAGCAGCCTGTCGCCTCCGATGAGGAACGCCGGGACCTCGACGCGCACGGCGTGCCCGCGGATCGTGTGGACGACGTGCAGCGCGTCGCAGACGCGCGGCCGGAGCCCGGCCGCGAACGACGCCCACGCGGCGCCGCGCGCGTCGTAGAGGTCCCGGCGCTCGGAGCGGAGCCAGCGCTGCGCGCGCGGGAGGAGCGCGGCGAGCTCGTCGTGGAGCGCGTGCCGGGAGAACTGGACGCCCTCGTGGAAGGTCTTCGTCTCGACGAGCTGCGACAGCGGCCGCACGCCGACGGCCGCGAGCAGCGGAAGCGTCGACCCCGCGAGCGCGTCGAACGCGCCGGCGAGGTCCCCGCCGGTCGCGTCGACCGGGACGCCGGCGAGGCGCATGGCCCCCAGGCGCTCCGCGAGCCACTCGGCCTCGCCGCCGGCGGGCACGCCGAGCACGGCGAGGTCGACGCGCTCGCGGGCCGCGGCGCGGGCCGCGACGACCGCGATCGCGGCGGCGACGTCGGCGTCCGCGAAGAGCGTTTCGCGGAGGCCCTCGTCGTCGTCGATGACCAGGATGCGATCGCCCTCCGCCGCGGCGAAGGCGCCGCACGACGTCGGCCACACCTTCTTGCCGCGGAGCAGGTGCGGGAGGAACGCGACGTTCTGCTCGGAGAGGCGGCCCGCGAGGATGGCGAACGAGACGACGCGCAGCACGGCCTCGACGTCGGCGCACGCGCTCGCGTGGGGCACGTCGAGCTCCGCCAGCGCCGCCGCGATCGCGATGTGGCCCGCGAGGTCGTGCGCCGTCGGGACGAGCGCCCGGGGCCGTCCCGACGAGACGCCGTCGTCGTAGCAGCGCGGGCAGGCGTCGGCGCCGCGGCTCCCGAGGCCGTCGCCGTAGCACGCGGGGCACAGCCTCCGGCAGAAGAAGCCCTGGAGCGAGCCGTAGTGCCGCTGGAGCACGCGCGGCGCGGCGGCGGAGAGGCCCCGGTGCACACATGAGTCGATGACTCGCGAGTGGTCCGCCCAGACGCAGTCGCTCAGCGCGTAGAACGCGCCCGGGACGACCGCGCGCTTGCCGTCGTCGGCCTCCGCCTCGTAGCGGTAGTCCGGCACCCAGGTGCACTTGCCGCGGGCGAAGAACTCGCGGATCGCGGCGGCGGCGCCGCCCCGCCGCTGGAGCTCTTGGTAGAGCAGGCGGTACAGGTTCTCGAAGTGGGCGACGGTCGCCTCGAACGGGCCCTCCTCCGCGGCCCAGGTCTCGAGCACCAGGAGCGCGTCGCGCGCGCCGAACGAGTCCCGGAGGCCGAGCGCCGCGTACGGTCTCGGGCTGTCGCGCGCGGCGTCGCGCACGCCGTCCGTCGGCACGGGCACGCGCGGCCCGTAGAGCTCGGAGAGGCCGAGGAGCGGCGAGTACAGCTCGCGCGGGCGGAAGAGGCGCGTGGCCCCGCCGGCGGCGCCGGGCACCCATCGCGTCTCGGCGAGGAGCGTCGCCGTCGAGCTCGGGACGCTCGCCCGCTCGCGGGACACCTGGCTGGGCACGAGCCCCGGCCCCTCCCGCGCGCCGGGGCGCGCGAGAGTCGCCGTCGTTTTTGCCATGGGCGCGGCCCATCGCGCGGCGGCGCAGAGCGCCCGGACCACCGCCTCGTTGGCGGGCTTCGCGTCGCGCGCGAGTTCTGCGAGGAGCCGCTCGAGCGCCTCGCTGTGGACGTCGTGCGCGACGACGCGCGCGTCCCCCACGCTAAAGACGTCCCGCGCCGCCGCGGCCCAGGCGTCGGGCCAGGCGTCGCGCTCGAGCATCCGCGGCGCCGGCTTGGGGAACTCGACGCAGCCGACGAGGCGGAGAAAGTCGAGCCACCCCGCGGCCTGCTCGCGCGACGTCGCGAGCTCGTGCAGCGCCACGTAGCGCCACTCGAGGCGCCGGGCGAGCGTCGAGAGCTCGCGGAGCACGTCGAAGGCGCCGTGCTCGTGGGCGAGGAGATGTCCGCGGCCGCGGGCCGCGCCGCGCCCCGGGGCTCGAAGGGGTGCCTGCCCCCCGGGCCCGCCCGCGCCGAGACCGGCACCGCGCAGCCCCGGAGCGCCTCGAGCAGGCGGTCGCGCTTCGAGCCCCGCAGCGTCAGGAAGTAGGCGCGCGCGAAGCGCCACCGGGCGTTGAGCCGCTTCCGATCCTCTCCGGCGTCGGCCGCGGCGAGCGCCGGGAGCACGTGCTCGAGGCAGACGGCCTCGGCCGTCGCGTCCTTGACGCCCGCCGAGCGCAGCACGCTCACGACCATGGGCCGCGCGAGCGACGGCGCGAGCACCGCCGGGTCGACGACCGCGAGGTCGGCCCGGACGGCCGCGAAGCCCTCGAGGGGCTCGGCGCCCTCGCCGCGGTCGACGTAGATCGGCGCGGCCCCCGGGGCCCCGCGCCCGCCCCCGGCGAGCGGCACGACGGCGAGCGACCGGAGGCGGTCGCGGTCGGCCGCCGAGACGCCTCCCGCGGGCGCGGCCGCGCGGTAGAGGAGCGCGGCCCACTCGAGGAAGACGGGCGCCCCGAGGTCGTCGGCGTCGGCGAGCGCCGCGGCGAGGCGGAGCGCGTGCGAGGCGTCGAGGGCCTCGACGCCCAGCGCCGCCCGCGTCTCGGGCCGGAGCCGGTCCTGGAAGGCCTGGTCGAGGCAGGAGCGGCCGAGCAG